AAACCCAAACACAGCCATGCAAACACAGCTGCAGTACGGTTGAAACACGAATGGGACAGAGGTACCCAAGCAATCGACTTTTGTACAAAGTCTCCCTCTGGTAAATCGTTACTAAAGTGTAACCTTTCGTTACGAGAACAGTCAGTTGCGTTTAACGGCAATGGAGTCTGTACAGTTAGGCGCATTCTTAGAGTGCCAGCGAACGGCGCAGGGAGTGGACTGGCAGGTGCAAGGGAATGCTCTTATCTATAGAAATACTATTGCTACTACACTGTTCATGTGTATTTCAGTTTTTTGATCGTTTTTTAATTCATAAATCATCTATATTGAGTACTCCTTACATATATAATACTTGTTTCTTATGGAAAGGAGCAAAATGTATACTTTTTCTATAATAATATAATGGTTTATTTTTCTTCACAATAATAGGTTAGTACAATTGTTATAATCACAGATTATACAGTAAATTTAGATTGCATTATATTGTACTAGGAATAACTTCTGGGACTGGAACAATATTTTTTAATTTTATATTTGTGAAAATGAGTTCGCTGGTTCATGACACCTTGCAGGCTTAACAAATCACTATATAATTTAGTATACTTATAGGCACTACTTGGGATGGAGAAGCGCATAGGCTACTTCTTATCCCGGTCGTTGAACATATCCCAATCACGTGAACAAAATCGCAGATATAACTAGTAGCCGAATATTAATATTATCTTGGTGAACTTTTAATGAATAAGAAGCCTACTTGTCGTAATTTTCATTTACCAACGCATCCGAAGTAATCCCAGTATAAAAATTATCGTACTCTTACTTGAGTGCTTTTGTTGTAAAACATTTTGTGATATTTGAAAACATATATACCGTCGTATGGCAATAATGGCGAAAGAAGATGTCCATTACAAGTATTGCTACTACTAGTTTAATTTTGAAATTTTCAAATATTTTTCTACTCTAAAAATACAACATTTCAATAGACACTCGTAGCTTAATAAGAGTGTTATTTCGCGATTATTAGTTTAACACGTCATAAGAGTTTATTCTGGTGTAGACATTGTACTCTATCTATACAAATATATCTTTGTAGCTGATCTCGATTTAGGAATTATAAAAAATTAAAGGGTTTATTAATAATTGGATATGTATGTACTTAATTTAGAACCAAAATACTATTTATATGTTATCTGTTGGTAATTATATTGATTAATATGCGTATATATGACTTAATCTAGTCTTTAGATTGATCCATTATGAAATATGTTTTTTTTCTATTACGTACTTTTCTTAATTTGGGATTACGAGAAATAAAGGAGATGCTACAAGACATTTTAAAACTAAACCTACATACACAGTATACACTCGTATATATGCACATTAGTTGCTTAGTCACCTTATAACATATGTAACATTGATTACAACAGCTTTTATCGAGTGCTCTACCAGTTATGGCAATGTCGCAAAAACCATAATAGAGAGTCGCTGTGGTGTGGGCGGCTGCCCGCGTCCGCCCCTGTACTTCATATATATCTAAATACAACTTCAGGTCTAGACAAACACATCCATTTAAACTAGTACATAGATGGGTTATTTAAGAATACTTCAAATCTTTAACGAGCTCTTAACGCTTCTTCTTCTTCTTGTAGTGCCTTTGCAGTGAAGGTTGACTATCGGCTTACGGAATCTATCCTTGTCTCTTGTCTTGTAAGTTGGAACAGTTCAGTAGCATTCGCAATGTCCATCTACTCTGGGATGTGGCGAAGCCAGGATTTCTGCGCCTGACCCGTCTCTTGCCAGTAATTCAGCGCTTCACTCGGTTGAAGAGGTTTTATAAGTTTTATTAGGGCGACAGATGCAGCCACCAGGAGGTAGAAGTTATTGTTAGTAATGGGGGCTAGCAACTAACATGTCGACGTCCTTGCGGTTCTCCTGGAAACTATTATATTCATTTGTTGCTGAATTGTTTTCGATGAGCCAACTGACCTGCTTCTATTCTCACCTATTATCATTCGCTGGTGCCTCGTCAGCCTATTTCATTTTTACTACGTTACTATTCCATTATTATCCATTAAAAAAAACCAGTCCACCTAATGAGTTATTTTCATTATATATGAATATTTGTATCACGAGGCGGATCTAGCAATCCGTCTTTTATGAAGTCTAATATAAGAGGCCAGCAGCTTACTAGCAACGCAGGGGGAAACCTCAAAAGAGAATCAATTCTACATTTACAGTGCATTACATGATGCATGCACAGTGGCTGTGTATCATGCATATGAATATGAATAATATACATGAATAATACTAAATAAATAAGACTGTTCTATCTTAAATTGCTATAATAATTGTAGATAATTTCGTTTCGTACGCTTTAAGAATCATATATTTTTCAAACACCCTATGAAGAGTTTGAAATAATATAGGTGTTTCGTACATTCATTATTAATGGAAATAAGCAGAGATTGTTTCAAACTTCTGGATGGTATGTTCATTGACATTTTGGAGATGCTTAAAAACGAAAATAGATATAAACTCAATTAGCATACAAAAACATTGTTTTAATAACCATTTTACATATAGTCTGTCAATGTGCATTGTTAGGTTTTAGTTGAATCTGTTCGTTTTATTTTTGTTTAAATGTAAATCGTAAATGATATGAAAAAGAGAGTGGATATTATCGTATCGTATATTTAAATATAGTATATAGCATCAGAATAATAAGTATATGAGTATGGAAATCAACCTAAACGATAGGGTTTAAAACTGGAGATTTTAACAGTTGATCCATTTTCTTATGTTAACATACAGTAGGAAATGATTTTTAGAAATTCTACCCCTAAAAGGGTACAGTAAGGGATGAATTATTGAATGGAAACCCGTCATTTTCAAAGTTAAGTATGAAATTTCATATACAAGCTTCTAGTTAGAAATAAATATGTATTTCTTCATTTTTAAAAATAAGAGGGTAAAGTAAGGATTGAAGGGATATGGGAAGTACGTCATTTTTGGAGTAAGAACATAAAAATGTAATTTCTCAGCAAAAATGAACACTTACGTAATTCGTCGTTTTTTTTTAATGGAACTTAAAAAAAGGGGATGAAATTTCATGCTCTTTATTTTGAAATCACAACTATTTATCTATTACTAACACTTACGCACGAGTGAAACCACGGGCAATAGTTAGTACTTAATAAATATTTTTTTTAATTTTTTCAAAAATTCAATTTTAATACGAAAAAAGCAAGCAACAATAATGTAAGCATTGTAGTTGATTCTGAAGCAAGATTCTTTGAAACTATCCGTATAAAGGTCTAGTTTAGCAATTTTAGTTTTAGAGATAGTATGACGGTATTGAATTTACTATTATGCAATAGCCAATTATTAACATTTCCTAGATGTATATGTTATCTAAAGTAATTCAAATTATAATCCATCCAACCATAAAAAATATCTATCGACTCAAACATTATCATATGAGCCGTTAATTGTCCATTTCTGAACGTAGCCCTCCCCTATAAGGAGGAGAAGGGGGTTGCCACTAGTTGCCACGCTTGGTTGGGTTAGCAACTGCAGTTTTTGTTTTATACAACTTAGAATGGCAAATAAGCTGACGGCCCACCTGATGGAAAGTGGTAACCGTCGCCTATAGATATGAGCAGACATAACAGAGTATACTGTTTCGCCCATGATACCCCTCATGCGTTGCCATTCCTGAGGACTCAGGTGTTATTCCACTGTACCCAGCAAATTCACGCCATATCCCACCCTTCAAAACGAAACACAGCCATGCAAACACACTTTAGTCGCTTCTTATGACACCCACTGAAAATGAAAGATTGGCCCATTATATAACGACCGACTGCCCGAATAAGACAGACATTACCTTCTAGTGATATCACGGAATAACTTTGAATTTTAATTTTTTTTCTTGCACGAGTGTGTTGCTTCACTTGCATTGTTTATTCTCTTAGTCCTTTCTTTGTTTATTTTGAGGATTGATAGGAGATAAATATGGAATACCATATCTAAATTTATATAAAAGGACTGAAATTTAATCCTTGTCTATTATTTAAATTTAAAATTTCCTCCTTTTAAGTAAAGTTTGAGCTACGAATTGTTACTTCCTTCTTCAATAATACAATGTAGTAGAATAAAGAATAGTACATAAAACTAAAAGTGACGATATTATTAATCAATGTATTATTTAATAGATTAAATAGTTATTCAATCCATCTATATGATCATCGTAACAATCCATTAATGACCCACTGCTGAGTATGGGCACGAATCAACTATTGTCACGCGGTTTGATATAAGTTTTTGATTCTTCTCGAGTTTTCTTCTTCGCACGATGAATGTGTTTTTTTTTTTTCTAATCAGATTTTATTCGATGATAATGATTTATTGTCTATTTTACGGAAATCTAAAGCAATATATCATAAAATAATTAATAAAATAAGTAACCCTATTCTTAAGACAGTATTTCACACCATGTGTCTGATGACCAAGGAGTTTATTATTAATTATTAGTATTAGTTTATAATGAAATTATTTTGACTTGTATTTTAAATATTTATGTTTGTCTATTGTCTCAATTTACACCAAAATCATCAAATTATAAATATTATTGCATAGAATGTAATGTAAAATATATGTATGTACTCGAAATAAAAAGGTTATTTTTTTCGTTTTTACAACGTATTGATGAAAATGAGTGATGACACATGTATTCTTTTTACTTAATAAAATTTTAAAATTCCAATAGTGTGGTAAGAAAACCTAATGAAGAGCTGCTTTCAGTAGCAACTTTATTTTATTTCTATATTTTCTTCAATATGTGTTTCGTTAGCCACTCTATATAGTCCGATAACCGATCCTCCAGTTTCGAAATACTCAGGCATTTCTTAAAGAAATATGTAGCTAGTTTCAGTTCCACCTTTTTTATGCATATTTAATATATTATTATTTATAATAATTTTATATTCTTTTGTCCAAAGAACCTTGGCGCTGGGAATTGGCATCCAAAACTTTCCGGAAGGACTTGCAGTCAGTTTACCGCTGCAAGCAGCTGGGTTCTCCGTTTGGAGAGCGTTCTGGTGAGTATCATTTAGTAGTTATTGTATTATAAAACAAACTTTGAAAATTCCAAAGCTGTATTAAAAACAAAATTTTATTGAACAATTAAGATTACATTTCTAAAAATTACCTTTATGTTTCTTTCATCTATGTCTATAATTGATATGGACTGTGTACAATAAGTGATATCTCATATTATTGTGGACTTAGTGTCTTGTGGTGTGCGGCGGTGCTCGCGAGTTAGATAGTGGCATGCGCGGGTATAGAATGCGCCCGCGCTTGTCGTTAGGCCGGATGCCAACGCAGCCAGACTGGCCGACCCCATTCCTGTTCAGGCTAATTCATTTAGCGACTATTGCCGCAGCGAGCCGACACATCACGCCGACTAAATGGACACTACTTCTTAGTACCTAAAGCGGTTCACTTTAAATACCAACGAACATTTTCATCTTTTCTTGTGTAATTTTCACGATCGATTATAGCAAATCATTGCGATTTATTGGCCTGTGCATATATCGTTGTTCGTTAAGGTATAAGAATGTCAGAGCAAAAGGTTACATCTGCTTCGCGCGGAGTACGTGCACGCATTGTAAACGTTACCAAATAGGTAAAAGTTGTAAATAGTCGCATTCCATGGTGTTCTCGGAATCGCTGGCGCCGCGCCGCTCGCGCTACCGAGCTACAAATTCACATTGCTCTTGTTAAAGATATGGATATGCTTACTTGACTCTTTTTATTTTATAATTGTTATTAACGTATTAATACATCGATTTAAAATTATATGGATATGGCTTTTATCGGCGTAAATAGCAAATGAGCAACTTTATTAATTTGTAACTACTAGCTAAAAATCTCCAGTCTTGTCCAAGTGTGGAAATGAAGTAATATATAATATGGTTAGGTAAATAAAAACCTATATGAAATGTAATCAACATTAATTAAACAGGCTTAGGAGATGGATTGACAAATTTACGATCACAAGAATCATTTTGTTCTCTCTTATGCCATATCCAACGTTTAGTGAAGTATAATCAACATTTTCACATTTCTCAAAGTATCAAATTAATTCTTTCATTATATTAATAAAAACAGTAAGTTTAGAATTCAATATGACCGCGTTAGACACGAGGTGTTTTTATACTCTGTCAAGTAGCTGGCTATATATTGTCACTTAAAGTATTTGGGTTACAAATACAAGTAAAGGTAGACAGCGGGTACTTTTCAAATAGCTATTTTTCCTATTTATATAAAATCTATTGTCAAAGTTAATTTCGATATCATAGTCGTATATTGAAAAAGAAGTTATACTTATTCTTAATTTTTTCAGTTGTTCCGAACAACTTGTCTTGTACTTATTTGATGCTTTTATTGAAATAGAATTTTTTTTCTCCTGTCTTGGTGTTACTTACTTTGGCTAATAAACTTACGTAATTATTAACGCCCCAAAATATTGTTATCGTCAAAGAAATATCAAGCATAAAAATGATGAAAGATAAAAATGCAAAAATACTACAACAAATATTGAGTAAATAATAATATTGGTCTCGAAAGCTTTTTAATCGGTATATGCTTTTTAAGAGCCATCGATAAAACTAAAGCGTCTTATTAAAATTAAAATAATACTTAAATATTTTATGACTTTATTATGAATTTATTTTCCGTGTATGGCGCCTCTACGTTTTCGTGTGTTGTGGCGTGGCGTGGTCCGTGTTTATGTGGAAGCGATAGGAATGCGCTCGAGTGGGAATCCTGACGCGGAGGAGGGCGGGAGTCGAACAACGACCTCGTCTCGCTGCGCCACCCTGCGCCCGCGCCGCACTATCTCTAAACCCTTAGTTTACAAAAGTTCTTTAGTTAATTATTAAATGCCTTACACGTATTTCATTAATTCATATTCACACGAGAGTTTAATTAAATTTGAACTGATTTACTTTCATACAACGTTTATGCTATTAACTTGAACAGTTTCTACGAAGTTTTATATCGGTAGTTTTACTGCTCTTCGTAGACTAGCGACTGTACATTTAAATGACCTGATGATGTCTACATATAAATTCATCATGTAACAAATCAGAACTTGATCGTTAAATGTAGATTGACCACAGTAAGTGTTACATTTCAAGACTTAATGGGTTGTAAATAAATAATTCTGGATATTTCATACAACGTCATCAAGTTCTAAATTGAGCAGTCTTTGTTTTATGGTTATTAGATAATTAATACATATACTCTAATATACATTATGTATATTTATAAATACATAAAAACTGCCTAAGCCAATGCAAATTGACATATCTACTACTGCATTAATACAAAAGTTTGTATTCTGTCGAAATTCAAGTCTTAGTCATCCAAAGGTTTTACTACGCATTAAAAACTGCTTTACTATCAAGACAATCAATATTATATAGAGTTCAAAAGCAGTAATAGTAGGTCTGCAGTGCGGAATGCAAGGAGCGAGGAATGCAGCCTGGGCAAGAAGTGCCCTCGCCGTCTCGCGCCGTCGCCGCATCGCGGATCCCTCCTCCCCCTTCCTCCAACACTGGGAAAGCGTTTGCAGCCTTCTCATAAATACAAATATAGGGTGGTAGGAGTCGCATTCCACTGGAGCCGACACATTTTCTTTGAAGGGGATTCAATTACAAACAGTTTTTTCGTATAACCTTACAGCATGGTCCATTTACTGAAACTTCTCTTATTGAATCCATAATTTTTTTATTGTCTCTTATTTCTAATTTTGGTGTCACTCCAGTAAAACTTTTCTTTAACTCAGCACTAGTAATAAAATTTTACTAAATTTATAATATTGATGTCCAACGCGTACAGATATGAAAATACCATTACAGCCACTCCGCACGCCATTACAGCAATCCGTTCGTTGCCACTCCTAGGGATTATTTAAGTATTTTTTCTCTTCTGTCAGAGACTACATTTTTCTGTCAAAGATTGCATATTAATTGTTGTTTCACACAAAAATAATACTACATTAGATAGATATTTATCGAGACAAATTTAATAACTCAGCACCTGAATACAAGATTTCGGATAACTTGTAGTCCAAGTTAAAGAATTCATTATTTAAGAAAAACGACATTAAAGACAACTGTCATTTTGTAGATGGGCATTTAACTCAAAAAGTTTTACGTTGTTTAGATGTTGTTGATGAGCGCAATTTTTGCATAGTCTAAGCGGTCCGACTTTATACAAAAGACGATTTTCTGCAAGGAAAAGTGGATGAATTGTCAAGAAGCTTTTACCGTACCCAATTATTAGAGCAATTAGAAAATAACCTGTCCCTCTTGCGCTACCTGGAGCATGAAAAATAGAAAAAAGGGCTAACCCTTTCACTATCTTTAAATTTGACGTGCTCTGTTTTTTTTTCTTCAATTAGCTCTAGAGTCTATACAGTTTACAAGTTATATTCTATATATCTAGCGATATCGCTAATATAATAGAAAGTACAAAATGTGTATATGAGATTGTTCCGATAAGTGCGAATTCGATTCTGGGGAATCACAAACTTTGGTATTTATATTTTTATATATTGGACTGCTGTATCCTTAGATAATATATTTAAGTATGTCTAATACCCGTAGTGTAAGCATCCCTTAGTTTCAGACTTGATGACACTATAAGATGTTTACGATGTATCTATTTTTGGCATAAGCATACGTGAATGTTTTAAAATTCAATATACAATTTTCACTTTTTCTAATAGAAAATGAGATCCTGAATCAACCCAAATCCCGTAAAAATGTACTTTCACTGAATAGAATTTGTATCCCTTAGCTACATACCTGTGCTGGCGTTGTTTTTTTAATAAGTGATGGTAGAACGGTAACCCCGCCTGCGCTATTAGTATACACTGACGGGGCACCAGTGAGTGACGTTAGGTGCGGATGAAAAGATAGGTCAGTTAGTCCATCGTGATGAATACACTTGGAATTCAGCACGATGGTTTTCTGGGGGATCACGTAGAGGTCGACCTGGTTGCGTATATTGCTAGCGAACGGGCCATTAGATCTCATAACTAACAACCCCCCTTCCCCCCTCCCCACCCCTGTTGTTGGCTCTGTGCATTTTGGATACAGATAGGACTTCGAATCCTTTTAGAATATTTAAGTGTTCAGTCTAATAAGATTTATGTTTACCTAATACAAACTATAGGGGGGAAAGGGATCGTTAGTAATGTGGACTAATAGCCCCATTGCTAGTAAGCTCTGTCAGGTCGACGCGGTTCCCCCTGGAAACCATTGTGATTAATACTTCTTGCATTCGTCACAATGGGCTAACTGACCAGATTTCATACTCATCTATCATCCCTCACTGGTGCCCCGCCAGTGTATACCGATAGCTCAGGCGTGATCACCATTTCATTATCATCCATTAAAAAAATTACGAACTATATGTAGTACTTTCTATGTACCAATAAATAAATAAATAATACAGGGATTAATTTAGCAAACAGAGACTATACAAATTCATTTGCATAGATATAGTCGTTCGCTTATTTCTGTTCCATCAAGCACTTATATCTGTGTAAGAGGTAATATCCTATATTAATCTATTGAGTTCTTCTGGACATTGATGACCTTTCGTTGCAATATCGTCCAGACCAGTCGGATAACTACATTTATTACTAGCTGGTTCTTTTTCGATATTATATATTCGATTTGTTTGTTTTGATTATATGTTCGATGTTATATATACAACATATAGATTTTTTTTCCATTGCTTCTGTCGCTTTGTCAAGATATAGATATTGCTAGATTTTACCCACCCTTGTATATTTGTTTTTTATTTTAATAGAACTTAATTGAAATTAGTAACACATCAATACATGCACTCGTTTATCGATGCGCTTTAAAATAAGAATAATGAGTTTATTAGTATATATTAATGACTCGATAGCAGTTGCTATGTTTTACGAGTACATAGCAAAATATACTTGTAATTTTTAAAGAGTATATTATTATTTGTTCTAAGTACTGGAGGGAGACTTTGTATAAAAGTTGTTTGC